TTCCGACACAGCATCACATGGTTTTTCCTTCCATTCTCCTATTCGATCATTATTTTTCTTTAAGTTATGGTCATGTGTTGCAAAGCAGTACTAGAAATTTAGAAGAACAGTTCTAGTCCTCTAGATCATTTAGGACAATCACTCCAGCATACAGTGGCAGTGTTATTTAAATTTTCGCAAATCTCTTAAGAAATAAACTTTTTTTTTTTTTTNACACAGCATCACATGGTTTTTCCTTCCATTCTCCTGTTCGATCATTATTTTTCTTTCTGTGGTCTTTTTAATTTTTGCTTTCATTGTTACAACCAGTTAAGGGGACATGGAGCAAGCCAGTGATAAGTCCCTAACCCTAGCCCTATTCAAGTTCATGTAATTTATTTTATTTCGAGTTCCTTGTTTGAATTGATGGATTCACAGATCTAACTCTTCCACTTTCAAATCTTTTTTTCTTTCAACTTAAGGGAAGATTTTATTATACTTGTGTATGTGTATGCCGTTTTATTAGAAAAAGTTGTTGAATTATTAGGGATAATAGGAAGTCGGGTTTTCAAATGTTTTTAATGGAAAGAGAGTTGGCTATGTAGGTGTTTATAGAACTGTCTTCTTATGGTATTGTCTCTAATTTGGAGTTGTTGGTTATGTAGATGGAAAATAAGGATGACGATGTTGTTGAGGTTGGGGCCAAGAAAGGTGATGGGCCATGGACGTCTAAAAATGAGGCCATTTTTATTGAATTGATGGATTTAGAAGTACCATTTCATCCTAAAGACACATCTATGTTTGAAAGGGATGCCTGGAACAGAATCTTAGTGCAACTAAGCAACAAGACGGGATATAATTACCATACCGAGCAGCTGTGAAACAAATTTAATCTTTTGAGAACAACGTACAANGGAACAGAATCTTAGTGCAACTAAGCAACAAGACGGGATATAATTACCATACCGAGCAGCTGTGAAACAAATTTAATCTTTTGAGAACAACGTACAATGCATTTAAGAAGTTATTGAATGAAACAACTGGAGTAGGATGGGACCCAGAGAGACAGACAATTACTTTGCCTGATTACGTCTGGAAGAATTTGTGCAAGGTAGCCAATTATTCTTAAAACGCTTAAGCATTATTATGTCTATATTTGTCAAGAGTTTAGTATTCATTAGTTTTCATGCCTGCTAGGTGAACAAGCATGCTAGACAGTTCAAGAAAAAGGGTTGCCCGCATTATGACAAGCTCGGTAGAATTTTTGGTAAGACAAGTGCAATCGGATAGCATGCTCACCCTTCAACCCTACCTCCATCTGATAGCGAGGAAGAGAAAGACCCAACTTTTGATCCTACAGCTGAGGTTGATAAAGGTGATGAGAATGAAAAAGCCAAAGGGCCATCCAACCGTTCTCGTAGTAGGTCTACCACTCCAACGTGCAGTCGCCGTAGGAAGAAAAATAATGCTATGGTTGGTCTTACAGCTGCCCTTAATGTGTTGGTTGAAAACTCAAAAACAAAAATGAGTATTTAGAGTACAAGATGTCACAGTCAACGGGGGCAACATCTTCNAAAGCGTGTCGCTTCGCTTCTCGCTTCTCGCCTAGGCGTTAGGAGCCTTGGTCGCTTCGGTTCGCTTTACGCCTTAAATAACACTGAATGTATGAGTGCTTTGAATGCTTTGANTCGTATGGGGATAGTGAGGTTAATACCAACAACAATGACTTGGTAGATGAATGTATGAGTGCTTTGAATGCTTTGGAGGACATTGATGGTGACAGCTATTCAAAAGCCATAACAAAATTTAGTGAGAGTCTGACTTGGAGGAAGTTGTTCCTGGCAATGCTGGACCATAGGAAGCGGGATTGGGTTATGCGCCAGTGATGTTCTATTTAACTCTAGAACGTTGGACCTTTTGTTGCTTTATGACTTTCATGGATGTCCGTCTCAACTTTTTATCTTTTGTGTAACAGTTGGGATGTTTTTGTAAGTTTAATGACATCGATGTTTTTTGTAAGTTTAATGATATCGATGTTTTTGTAAGTTTAATGACATCGATGTTGTTTGTAAGTTTAATGACATCGATGTTGTTTGTAAGTTTAATGACATCGATGTTCTTTGTAAGTTTAATGATATGAAAGTTTTTGTAAGTTTAATGACATCGATGTTGTTTGTAAGTTTAATGACATCGATGTTCTTTGTAAGTTTAATGATATGAAAGTTTTTGTAAGTTTAATGAAATCGATGTTTTTGCATACTTATACTTATTATGTGTTATAGGTACTTGGACACTAATGGATTCAGATGAGGAATTGATATTTGATAGTGATAATGAGATGGGTATTGTCATAACTGAAATAGCTGTTGATCATTATTCTAGTCAAAATTCAGGACCACGTCCATGTAGAACATCTAAACTTAAGGGGCATGAATATGTATTGGAATTAATTAATGGCCCTGAAGATAGGTGTTTCGACCAATTTAGAATGGATCCACCCATCTTTGTGTTGTTTTGCGAAGAGCTAAAAAATAGAGGATTACAACATTCTAGATACTTCACTGTTCAAGAGCAAGTTGCTATATTTCTGCTCACTATATGCCACAATGAACGAAATCGCATAGTAGCTGAAAGGTTTCATCATTCGGGTAAAACAATCTCCAAATATTTCAAGCGTGTGTTGAAGTCAGTTTGTAGGCTTGGAATGGATATCATACAACCCCCGAATTTAGAAGTCATTCAACCACAGATCAGATTCAATCCCCAATATTATCCATATTTTAAGGTAATTGAAAGTATTACTTTATGTTCATATGAATTACAAAATATATATGTTTTGGTGCAATTGATGGTAATTGGGAGATATGTTTGTTATGCTAGAATTGTGTTGGTGCAATTGATGGTACCCATGTTGATGCACGTGTTCCAGTAGACCAACAAGTATCATACCATGGAAAACAATCTGTACCAACTGAGAACATTATGTGTGCATGTTCATTTGACATGCGCTTTAGTATTGAGTGGGTGGGAAGGTACAGCGCATGACTCAAGAGTTTTTATCGAGTGTGTCACTAATCCAGCAAACATGTTTCCAATGCCGCCAGGAGGTAAATTTATCCACATATTTCAGATAAGTAATTTGTACAATAGTAAAACTTTGTCTTACTATGGTATATATTTTTTACAGATAAATACTATGTTGTAGATTCGGGTTATACAAACATGCCAGGTTTTTTGTCCCTTTACCGCGTTGAGAGATATCACTTACGTGATTATAAAGGTAGGGGTCGACAACCAACTGACAAAGAGGAGTTGTTCAATTACCGTAACTCATCACTTCGAAATGTAATTGAACGTTGCTTTGGAGTTTTAAAGGCTCGTTTTTCCATTCTCAAATTAATGCCACCTTATCCCATAACCACACAAAAATATCTACCCATAGCTTGTTATACAATCTATAACTTCATTAGAAGTCACTTTCCACAAGATCAGTTGTTTATTGACTTTGAACGAATGGAGGATGTTGATGATGGTAGAGGTGGTGCATGATCTAGTTCACAAGGACCAATTGAAATAGATATAACGCCGAGTCAGTTGCGTGAAATGGCTCATGTTAGAGATGACATTTCGGATCAATTGTGGACATCAACTCATAATTAATATATGTCTTACTTAGAATGGTATTTTACTTTTATCTTAACTTCCAATATTTTGTTGAACAAATTATTATGTCTAATTTATTGTAATTAATTTTGTTCAAACCGGAATCATATAATGGCACCAGTTGGACCTCCATGCTCATGTGGATATGGTAATATGAATGTTTTCGTCGCGCGGACAAAAAGAAACAACGGTCGTCTTTTTTATCGTTGTCCAAGATGGTCTGATCATGCTAATTGTTTCATTTGGGTTGATGAGTACGATACACACATAAATGAATCAAAAAATGTGATCCCACATGCCAATTTAGGCAGGAGAGAGAAAAAATGGATCACACTTTTTATGCTTACTTGTTGTGGATGCAATTTCATCGTTTGTTGTGCATTACNTGAATCAAAAAATGTGATCCCACATGCCAATTTAGGCAGGAGAGAGAAGAAATGGATCACACTTTTTATGCTTACTTGTTGTGGATGCAATTTCATCGTTTGTTGTGCATGTTCTTGATATTTGTATTACTTATTGGGATTTTACTGAAGTAATTATGGTGTATTTGTTTATTTGGTAGAATATTAACAATATCTTTATGTAGTGATACATTGGATGTTTAACAACTTTTATTTTGGGTTGATGTATTACGCACTGGGAAAGCACAAATGTTTTTGTATGTTACATCCTTATTTTGCTTCTGTACTGGCGCTCTGTTAAATAGGATTGAAGAGAATCTTCATGCTTTGTCTAGTAGATGTTCATTATGTCTGCTGCATTTGAGTTGATGTTTTGTATATGGCATTTTAAATGGTTTTCTGCAAGGAAGAGGAATGTTAGCTGGACAGGGATTTTTGTGTATCAGTGGTGGTCTGGCATCTGCAACAGGACTTGGCTGCTGCTCTGAAATTGGCTATGTTACAAGATTAGCAGTGTCTGCCAGTGGTAAGGAAAAAGAGGATGTTGGTGTTTGATGACAAGGGTTAAAGTACTTATGAATGCATGTAAATTTGGTTTTGATTCTCTTGTAGGATTAAAGCCAATTCATGAAATTTGAGAATACAAAATGGGAATCAGTCCTCTCTCTTTGCTGGGATGTTGCTATGCTGATTGTGCTGATGAATGTTTTGAGGAGTGTGCTGTCTGTTATGGGCAGTTGGTATGTGTGGTCTATTGGGTGCCTGGTGGCAGCTGATGTGCTGACACCAGTGTCTGTGTATACACTCAGGCAGTGCACTGGTTTTGTTCTAGCAGTTGTTTCATCAGTTGCCGCAGGGTTTAGGTTTATTGCCTTCTCAAAGGTGCTGATTTCCTGATGCTGTGTCTGCTGCATTCATGGGGTCTGATGTGCGGTTTTGTGTTGTTTGGAATGCATGACTGATGTTTGCTGGGATCTTGCTATGCTGATTGTGCTGATGAATGTTTTGAGGAGTGTGTTGTCTGTTATGGGCAGTTGGTTTGTGCTGTCTATTGGGTGCCTGGTGGCAGCTGATGTGCTGTCTGTGTATACACTCAGGCAGTGCAGTNTATGGGCAGTTGGTTTGTGCTGTCTATTGGGTGCCTGGTGGCAGCTGATGTGCTGTCTGTGTATACACTCAGGCAGTGCAGTTGGTTTTGTTCTAGCAGCTGTTTCATCAGTTGCAGTTTTCTGTGGCTGAGTTGGGAGGACTGCTGAGCTGTGCTTCTGATTTGGAGCTGGTTCAGCAGTTGTGGCTGGCATACAGCTTTGCTGGTTTTTAGCTACTGTTTTCCAACTGGAATCTCAGCTGATTTTTGCAGCTTCCACGTTCTCTTGCTTGCTGTGCTGTTGCTGGATTGTCTCTACATTTTCAAGCTTTGGTTTTTGGCTTGTGTGAATTCTTCAAGCACCTGTTCACATGAACAGTCCTGCGGCTGCTGTGGGTTTTTTCATGGCTTTCAGTGTGCTCACAGCTGGTGGTTTCTTTGGTTTCCAAGTTGGTTTCCAGCTGATGTTCCAACTGGATTTATTTTGGATCTTCAGCTGGTCTTATGCTGGCATTCATTTCCCATTATAAAGATGTTTTTGTCCTTTTGAAGGCTAAGCCAACAATGGCTTCTCTTGTTTTGTTAAGCTGTGCTTCTTTGCTTCTTGTAATATTTTTTCTTTCCAATNCCTTTTGAAGGCTAAGCCAACAATGGCTTCTCTTGTTTTGTTAAGCTGTGCTTCTTTGCTTCTTGTAATATTTTTTCTTTCCAATTTATTTTTCTCCTTTAAAAAAAAAACTGGAATTAGAAATGGTTTGAAACAATCTTCAAGGATTAAAGCCATTTTATATTTTTAGAACATCTTCTTCTTTGATCCAATAAGATCAGTGGACTTTATCAGATTAAATCAGTGCTCCAAAGCTGAAGTGTGTACTACTATTCACAAGACTGTTTATGAAGTGGTACTGTTCAAATTCCTGTTCATGGTACTGTTTAACTTTAAGAATTTATTTATTTTATGAGTTAATGTATGTATTGACATATAATCATGTGAATATTGTTTATCAAGAATTAAAATAAATATAAAGTATATGATAAAATAGAATGGTTACCAAACATATTTTCTATTTTAGTTTTTAAATTTCGTACGCCAACAACTACATCCAAACACGTTTTTTGTTTCAACTTTTAACCACAAAAAAAAAACAAAACATTGCTTATTTTTTTTTTTTTTTGAAAACATAAAAACGAAAACCCTACCTAAGTTGTCAACGCAAGATACAGTTCATTATTTTATTATCTCAACTTTCTTTTAAGGAATCTATGGTACCCAAAAAAAATTTTGGTACCGTGTCTCTAATTTTAATTATTTTAATAGATCTATTTATTATTTTTATGGATCATTTAAAATTAAAAAATTTATTACTTTTGTTAGTATTTTTATCAATGTTGTGGGTATTTTTATTATATTTGTAGTAATTATTTTTACTATTTTTCTTTAGTATGAAAAAAATTATCGTTTTTGAGGGTAATTTATCATATTTGTGTATGTTTTTATTACATTTTTTGTTATTTTACCACTGTTATAATAACTATTTTTACTATTTTTTTGGTACTACAATAGTGATAAAAACACTCACAAATGTAATAAAAATAACCACAAATATGATACAAAAAAAAAATATTGGTACCATAGTCAACTCCTTGTTTTAAAATATTTTTTGAATCCTAATCTTTAATTGTGAAATTGCACTTGACCATTTAGGTTTAAAATCGAGCTATTCAAATTTATGAATTATATATTTTTTATTTCATTCGATTGAGCATTTATGACCTATTCTATTGGATATTGCTTGTATAAAATATTTAACTCAGATTAAAAATGAGTGAAAGTGTCTTAATATATTTTGGATGGTTTTATTATACATAAGTTTCAAATACTTACTGAAAAATTTTCAATCACACCCCTTCTAATTTTTCATATATTTAAAAACATTCTTTTTATTTTTAAACTTTCACCGACACTACCTGTCAGTTTAAAGGGCTTAACCAGAATATAATTTTATTAAATTGTCCATGATATATTTAGAAAAAACTTCATCCACCCCCCCCCCCCAAAATAGACATATCTTCAACGAGGCCCTATTTGTTTTATGAATTTTTTTTACATATTAAAATTTGGGGCAATTAAAATTTGATTCGAGTTGATTATATTGTTTTTTAATCGACTTGAATCACATTTTCATTAATTTGCATTGAGTTTTAATCGACCCAAATTTTGATACGTAAAAAAAATATAAATTTTAATCAATTTAAATTAATACGTAAAAAAAAAAAAATTTAATCAACTTGAATTAAATTTTAATTGACACAAATTTTAATAAGTAAAAAAATATAAATTTTAATCGACTTGAATCTAATTTTAATCAACACTAATAGTTTAAGTTGAGCTTAAATAGTTTCAAATTTTAATATGTTTGAATTTTAATTCATAAAAAAATAGAATTTAATCAGGTCAAATTTTAATATGTAGAAAACAAATTTTAATCAGCTTGAATTTTAATATATACAAAAATAAATTTTAATCGTCTCGAATTTTATGTAAAAATATTATTTGGGGTTTATATAGGGATAATTTTGATATTTTAGATTTTTTATTTTATTTTAGAAATGGTAGTTTAATGACATGAGTGTCAGTGATATTTTAGATAATAGAGGGGATGCCCTTAAAGATATGATAAATTAGAAGGGTTGTTACTAAAATTTTTCCATGATTATATTAAACCTTAGGACATTTCCGATCTTTGCTCAAACCCTTATCTAAATTTAAATTTGATTAAAAATAAACAAAAACAAGCTCCAATTCTTTACTCAAATCTATACCAAATGAAGGAATACTCAAATTTCTACTCAAATTAGGGGAGATTCAAATTTTTACCATAATTTTTAATACTGAGATTTCACTCTTTTTTAAAGATAAAATAATCATATTTTATTCTCCTTTAAATTTAAATTTATTGTAATTTAAATTTGAATTTGTCGTTTATATTAAATCGGTTTTTTTTTTTTATCTAAATATTGATTCAAATTTGAATCAAGGTCAAAGATGTCCTTATATGGATAGACTCGCTGTCTCCCTCCAAATATTCTATAACAGGTTTTTTTGTTTAAAATTTTCTTATGATATAAATTAATTTTTTGTAAAATAAAAATAATTAACTTATGTATGATGAATTTTATTTAAATTTTGAATTGGATTAGACAAGCTCCTCGATTCTGATTTCAAAAATATATATTTTTTGCTTGCAAATAATTTGAAAAATATTATTAGGATTTAATTTAGAATCTAATTTAATATAGTCTTTAAATAAAGAATTATTTTTTTAATATTAAAATTTATAATTATATGAAATTAAGTCCCTGATTAAAATCTGGTAAAGAATTTAAAACGAGATGCGAATATGAGCTTTTATGATTCCGGTTGGGAAAGTGTGACAAAAATCATTCATAATCGTTAGTCAGACGCTTTTCGGGAGTGACAAAGTGTCCTTGTTTGTCCTCGTCTTATTAATGCACGTGACTTGCCATTTGTCTGTCTAACTTTCAACCTTCTAACACATGATTTGGTGGCCCAATTTTTTATTTTTTATTTTTTTTTCCAAAATTTTGAGTTCCTATTAGGTTTTATATTGCGGAGAAGATTACGGTACCCAATTAATGAATATTTTAATAGTTTTGTTTATAATAAAAATTTATAATATTTATATTTTTTGTGATAAAAATATTCATAAAAATACTAACAAAAATTATAAATAACGAAATACTAATTTTTTTTGGGTATCGTATCATATACTATTCCATATATTGTACTTTCAAGTATTAAAGAAAAATAATTTTTTGATAGATAAGATCGTTCAACCTGCCAATTTTAATAGTTATTTGTACTTTAATATATCAAAATTAATTCCAATAGACATATTGATTAATTAAAAATACATAATTTGTAAGGGTACGTACCGAAAATATATACCCACATTATTATTAATAGGCATCTAAACTTTCTTTTTGTTTTGCCCTTAAATATCCTTTTAAAAAGGAAGCATTTCCAGTGGTGTACCTGATTTAGGAGTTGGGTTGTGACATTTAAACTTACATTATTGGTGCCATTAATGGAAACAATAAAAGGCAAACCTTGATTATGTGTATAAATAAAAACTCACTACTATAATTGCCTTTTTTTTTAAATACCTTCATCGGTGGGATCATGAGACTCCTGATCGTACCTAAAATACCTCAGAATTAGATCTAGTTAGACTAACATAACGGCCGACCATCAAGCTCAAATAAAAATTTCAAGACTTGAACTCTCAACTTTAATTAAGAGTAAAATGAGTAACCCACTAGACAGACCACCGCACTCGGTGGTTTATAAATATGTTCATAACAAATAAATACGAAAGAAAATAAGCAAAGCCGGCGACTCGAGAACTGCGTTGAAATTGGAAGAGAGAGAGAGAGAGAGAGAGAGTTGGGGGGACGGAGAAGGCGGAGAAGGAGAGGGAGAGAGCAGAGAGACGGACTACATAAGCAGAGGAGTAATACAAGGAGGTTTTGTTGGTACGGCTTGACTTAGAAATAGTGCACCTTAGTTCTCTATCTTCCTTCCCGTTCTTCCTTCGCTTTCTCACTCTTTGACGGTGCTACACTTTTGTATGATGGAATCACTCTCGCCGGTGATCGGGCCGAAACTGGTTCTTCCGGCGAAGATTTCACTCAGCGATCATGTCACATTCGGCTCGGTTCTTCCGAGTTTAAGACCGAACCTGAACCGAAAATTTTGCAAAAAATTGCAAGTTCACGTGGAGAAGAAGAGTCCAACCTCCGGAATTGATTTCAGTGATCCTGATTGGAAATCAAAGTACCAGAAGGACTTCGAGGCTCGATTCAACATTCCTCACCTCACCGATGTTTTCGAGGACGCTGCTGCCTATCCTTCAACTTTCTGTCTTAGGATGAGGTACTTCTTCGCTTTTCTCACATTTTCTTTGAAGTTCTCCGACAGGTAGTGGTTTAGTTCATCTCTCTGCTCTGTCCTTTAGTCTGGTGTTTGATGTAGTTGTTGAAGCAATCATTTGATTCTCACTTATTTTTGGATCATGAGATTTTGAGGTTTTCATTTGTTGACTTTTTCTTTTTGTTTTTATGTGGCCTCTGAGTAAATTTTTGTTATAATGTTGAGTTGAAAAGTATCGGTTTGTAAATTTGTTACTGCTACTGAAGATCATGTATTAGTTTTTTTCCCTTCAATATTTATTCATTGGTAATTTTTGATGTTAATCGTTTTGTTGGTTGGTAATTGGTACTTGGTAGTAGACATTTCTATGGCTAAAGTTTTATTTTTGATGAATATTTATCTACCTTGCTTGTCTCTATCAGTCAACAAGAATTTACCACTCTGTAGCTTCTTGACGTTTATGAAATTACTCGATATGTGTTTCTTGATTTGCTTTACATTTAATGTTATAGGACCCCAGTAACTGAAGATTTTGCTGATGGTTATCCATCTGATGAAAAGTGGCATGGATACATTAATAACAATGACCGAGTACTCCTTAAGGTATCTTTCATTCCTATGTTTCTTTAATTTCTTTTGTGCTAAATCTAATTCAATTGGGATTACCATATTTTGTTTCAAAGTTGTTAGCAAAATAATGAAACCTTGCTTACTGTCCGCCCTCGTATTTGAACTGCTTTCAAATTGGTGTTCATGTATCTACAAAAACTGTGACAGCTAGTGGACCAACAACTATTCAGCGTCCAATTTTTTCAGATGGTAGGTTNTGCTTACTGTCCGCCCTCGTATTTGAACTGCTTTCAAATTGGTGTTCATGTATCTACAAAAACTGTGACAGCTAGTGGACCAACAACTATTCAGCGTCCAATTTTTTCAGATGGTAGGTTATTAGGCAATCTAGTGACTTCTTGTTTTCTGATGACACTGAAAATTAAGTGTGCCATGCTGTTACTCAACAGAAGCTTAGGCTCATTGATCAGAACATGATTGTTGGATGAGCTCTTNCTGTGACAGCTAGTGGACCAACAACTATTCAGCGTCCAATTTTTTCAGATGGTAGGTTATTAGGCAATCTAGTGACTTCTTGTTTTCTGATGACACTGAAAATTAAGTGTGCCTTGCTGTTACTCAACAGAAGCTTAGGCTCATTGATCAGAACATGATTGTTGGATGAGCTCTTTGTATCAGTATAGACTCTGCTCCATCTGCTATTATAAGTTCTTTTTTTTTTTTTTTGCAAAAATTTAATCGCTTCACTGTGCCTCGCACATTTATATAATTTATATAATAAATCACTTGNTTTTTTTTTTTTTTGCAAAAATTTAATCGCTTCATTGTGCCTCGCACATTTATATAATTTATATAATAAATCACATGAGAAGTTGAATTTTATCCCCTACATATTTTCCCTCTCAATTCTATCATATCACCTATCTTATCACATGCTCAATTATTTAATATTTAATTAATTTATAGTTTAACATAATTTTTATTTCAGATATTATCTATATACGATAGTATACACATGTTGAGAAAAATTTTATCGGATTATGTATTTTTGAGAAATTTTATTCGATATTTTTAAGAAAATAATGTATAAAAATAAATTTTAAATGATGCAATCAAATAAATGAGAGGGAAAAAATTGTTATTTAATATAGACAGNATCTATATACGATAGTATACACATGTTGAGAAAAATTTTATCGGATTATGTATTTTTATTTTTAAGAAAATAATGTATAAAAATAAATTTTAAATGGTGCAATCAAATACATGAGAGGGAAAAAATTGTTATTTAATATAGACAAATTGATTTTTTAGCTGCTCAAATTTTATGTTTCTTTATGCCTTCTGGGACGGGATATGTCTAGTTGTCAAATATGATGGTATGGAATGGAGCCATCTTCAGTTCTACTTGTCAGTTCAATCTACAAGTGGTTTTCACATTATTTCTGTTAGGCTCTGCGTCAAGAATTCCATTTCTATGTGCCACTTGAGCTCGTTAGAAGGCTCATGATGAGAAAAAATTGTAAAACTTGATATTCAGCCAGAATGCCCAAGTTCAGAAATCAATCAGAACTGATGCATCTTATATATAATTGATAGAACAAATTGATGTGTCTACGAGCTAAACAAACTTAAATGAAAAAGGAAATCATTTTCATAATGCTGCTCACTGCCTGTGCTTGTAGATGCATTTGCTTGTTTTTCATTTTGTTGACAAATATACCTAAAGATCCTAAACACGATTAGTGAGAATTTTTGGTTTCTGCGAGCTAAATTTTTAGGGGTCGATGTGTTAAAGGAACTAAGTATGGATTCCTGTTATGTGATTCTTGTACTTATGAAGAAATCCCATGCTTGACAATTACCACAAAGCCAGTCATGAGGCAGTCCTTTCTTAGACCCAATGGTTATACTTGGAAACTTCTCTATGGTATTCCATTGTATCCTTGATTTTCTGTTACATGTTACTGTTGAGAAACCAGACTGAATTATATCTTGTTTGACTAATTTCATTCTATCACATAGTTCGTGTTTAGTTGTTGCATATCTTTCCCTTAGGTAAATATTTTACTCCACATTTCAGGTTATAAACTACTCCTCACCTACATCTGCTGGTGCTGAGTGCATTGATCCTGATTGCACATGGGTGGAGCAATGGTAACTACCCCTTAAACATTTCTTAAGATCTGCATGAATGGAGAAGCCTTCATAATTAAAGTGAGAAATTTAAAGGTCTATAAGTTGTAATAAAATTTCACATTTAAAAAACAACTAAAGGACATTGCCTCGCTTTCTCAGAACTAAATGATTAATAGAGGGGAACCTGGAAACTCTGACTTGCCGAGAGTTAATTTGAACTGAAAGCATAATAATGCAAGTGTAGTTTCTATTGAGCCCATGAACACCCAATTCCATTCTCCTTTGTTGTGAATCTCTACTCACTTAATGATCGGTGATCACAAGGATTTCAAAGTAATGGTTTAAGGAAATCATTCTTTGGGGTTTATCATGGAATGGAAACAGTGTGTTGAATCCTAATGAAATTGTTGTGCTTAATCATTTTGATGGTTCAAATTATTGGCTAATACTGATATGATTTGGCCACATCATATCTGACCCGTCATATTTGTTCTGAGACCGATAGACATTTCGTCTGTATCAATCACGAGTCTTGGTGGTTGACTAAGATACATGTCACATAAATTGTCCAAATAATCGTTTTGCGATGCCAAGATTCCTTTCCACAACACTGCAATATGACTTAAACCTCTAATCATTTCTAGTTTTTTTATTTCCTCTCATTCTGTGTGTATCACTTGGTAGTGTTCCACCATGTCATGACCAAAACATCTCATTGCCCTCCATATCAATGGCAGATACTCCGAACTTGAATCAATGTTCTATTCTATCTTCTAAGAAACCATCATATTTTGGGAGGCATGACAATACGAATGAGTACGTTCAGGAGATATCATTTAGTATTGTTTCTTTCTCTTCGTTGTTGAGAATTGTTTGAATGGACTAGTATCTGTAGGAGGTATAAGTCATTGTCCCAAGCANCTATCTTCTAAGAAACCATCATATTTTGGGAGGCATGACAATACGAATGAGTACGTTGAGGAGATATCATTTAGTATTGTTTCTTTCTCTTCGTCGTTGAGAATTGTTTGAATGGACTAGTATCTGTAGGAGGTATAAGTCATTGTCCCAAGCATTTGACTCAACCCCCCTCAACCCCAAACTGGGTCTGCCTTCCCTCTCAAAATTTATTTCTTCTCTATTCAACTCTGCCAAAAGAAGTGTGTCACTCATATGAACAGGAGAAAAGGTTCAGTAATGCAGATTGTTACATTTTGTGGCACTTGTATCAAATCTTATGTCTCAAGTTGTCGTAGCTTCATTGTCATATAGATACATACTTGAGTTTTACTACTAAATACCATATTTGATTGATAAATGAAAAATGTTTACATTACCTAATAAAAATGACCCTGAATTATATCCAGGGTTCATCGTGCTGGTCCTCGGGAGAAGATATACTTCAAACCAGAGGATGTAAAAGCAGCAGTTGTAACTTGCGGGGGACTTTGCCCTGGTCTTAATGATGTCATTCGACAGGTAGCTATTATGTGGCAATGTCATTGTGCTATTTACCACTTTATCTTTATACCAAACCTGAATTATCTTTTAATGAAGTTGGTTTAATCAGTAACTCTTGACGTTTAAAGAAGTTAGATTTTGACGTTTCTCATAGCTATTGTTTTGTAAGATTATAAGTATATCTTTGTTCAGGCTTCACTTGATTGTTTTTATGGATAACTAGTGCATGTCTATGCTTAGAAGAGACAGCAAGGTGCAATTGATGTTTCATATACTGTCATCATTGGAAAAAAGAGCAACGAGCAAGCATAAATAGATGATTTCTAAAGATCTGATGGACTACTCTACATATTTAGTTACCATGGAAGCACATGCAAATAGGCTTCTGATAACACTTGAGTTTTTTGGGAGTGGATTATTTTTCTGTTCTGTGAAATGGCTGCAGATTGTCATCACCCTTGAAATATATGGTGTGAAAAAGATTGTGGGTATTCCTTTTGGTTATCGTGGATTCTCTGAAGAAGAATTAGCGGAAATGCCTGTAAGTTTTTTTTCTTTTGCTTGCAATCATCTGTCTGAGTCTCAATTGAGTCACTTTCCCTTTCTGATAAAAATAACAATTTTGTTATATATACTATGTTTTTCTTTTGTTTTGATCTAAATTGTTTCTCTATATATACTTTTCATCAATTCTGTTGATGAGATCTTGGATTGTCATGTTTTGTTTCACTCAAGTGTTCATGCTACGGTTGCTACCTCTCTTGGTGAACAACTCTTGGTAGACTTTACTCTAACAAGATTATGTTCTGTTGGCATTTTGTGGAGGACCAATAAACATATTAATTATCTGATAGTTAATGCACTATGTGCTTTGTTTGGTACCTAGATCATCTTATACCTCAAAAAATGATTGTACCATTAGGTCTACCAGGTTCCTTGAACTTCATAACCTTATGACTTGTCGTCGTCACCTTCCAACTGTTGTTGGTCAAGATTCATGGAAAGTCCTTCTGCCTCTCTGGATTTTGGCATCAAGACATAGAGGGAACCATTCCTTCATGTTCGCCTGGTTCTCGCTTTCTTTTTTCCGCTTTCCTTGCATTATTGTCTCGCTTCGCTCGTATGATTTATGGCTTTTATCTCAACCCTGCTATCTTTCTAAAGCATAATATCTCTTCAAAAAGGCAAAACTTTACTTTGAGAAAGAAGCTGCAAGGGTGCCAAACCCTCCGTTCTCTTGCTTGTTCACTAATTCCGCTTCCACAAACCGGAGGGCTGAGTGGGATTGGTGGAACATACTATATACAGGTAAATTTGGATGATCCTTATCCAAAAGAAAAATTGATGATCATACTTCCATGCATATTGATGATTATACTTCCATGCAAAATTGATGATTATACTTCCATACAAAATTGATGATACAAGGCTTGTTGGTTGTTGTTTTCCTTATTGGTTATAGGGTACAAATGTTTTGTCTCTCTTGGTTATTGCGTATTTCTTAGATATATTTTTGATTATCAGTTATCAAGGAAAGTGGTTCAAAATGTTCATCTTTCTGGTGGAAGCTTGTTAGGAGTTTCACGCGGAGGACCTAGTGTTAGTGAAATTGTGGACAGTATGGAGGTGATTGATTAATCCTTTTTGGTTGGCAGACTTCATTGGTTTCTCTGGGGTTATTTACCCTGATTTTCCACTTCATTTGATCTATTTTTTTTTTTTTTTCTAATTGATTTCAGGAAAGAGGAATCAATATGCTTTTCATCCTGGGTGGCAATGGTACGCACGCTGGGGCCAATGCAATCCATGATGAGGTAGTTAAGACTGGTCTGTTCAACATTGGTGTATATATTCCGTGATATAAGACATTTCCTGATAACTTTTTCCAACCGTCCATTACTTCTCAAGTTTGAAGTTTTGTGACATTTATTTCACATTATTACCATTCATCGGATACAGAATGTATGTGCCAGTCATTTTTTAAGTGATTCTTCATTTCCATTTTTTCTAATGATGTAGTTCACGTTTTTCTATGTGCATGAGTCCTGATCATTCTCTGTCTCTTCATTTCCATCAAGCTTAGGCTCTGTCAATGCTTCAGGTTACTTCTTGTGGTTTATATATTATTTCCAAGTTCTAAAATCCTTTACTTTTTGATATTTAGTGCCGTAAAAGAAGGTTAAAGGTGGCTGTAGTTGGTGTGCCAAAAACTATTGACAATGATATTCTGCTGATGGATAAGACTTTTGGTTTTGATACTGCTGTTGAAGAAGCTCAACGAGCTATTAATTCTGCATACATTGAGGTACACAATAGTTCTGATTCTTAATTAGTGCTGAAGAAGCTTCTTTTTCAATATGCATTTATGTGTTCATCTAATTACTTTCCACATATAATAGATGCAATAGAACTGTTTCTTAGCATATTATAATTGAGCAATTTTCACTATTTTGTGACAGGCACATAGTGCTTACCGTGGTATTGGGATTGTGAAATTGATGGGTCGTAGTAGCGGATTTATAGCTATGCATGCATCCCTTTCTAGTGGACAAACTGATATATGTTTGATACCAGAGGTATTTTCACAAGATATATATGGGTATAGATAAATATGAACTAGTATTGAAACTGTCTGTATCTCCACTTCTAAGGTACCTTTTCGTTTACATGGACCTCATGGTGTCCTGAGTCATCTGAAGTATTTGCTTGAGACAAAGGGATCAGCTGTGGTCTGTGCAGCTGAGGGAGCAGGACAGGTGAGTTGAATAATGTTCTATTTTTAGGCTTTGTAGTGGCTATAAAATTGAATTCATTATTTGTGTCTACGCCTATTATATCCACATATGAATACCATAGGATTTCTCACTTAAGTAATTTTTGGTTTGCTATTTATTTCTTTAAACTTCAATATGCAATAAAGTTAAGCATCCCCTTTTTTCTTGACTCTTTCTGGAACACCCATGTGGAAATGGGTGCTTATACTTGTTCAAGTTTTTCCAAAAGAATTACAAGGTAAACTGCCATATTTGATGTGTTATCAATAGGGAGTCCATAATGGCTTGAAGGTTTTTTCGAGTCCTGTTGCATGATTGCAGAAGTTATGTGCACTTGTCCAGTGTTTTGACCTAAGGATTTTAGGGAAATTGAACTGGTTTTGTTTTTCTGAGAATACTAGCATTGGCTTATTTTCTTTCTTTCTGATGTAGAATTTTCTTGAGAAAACTAATGCTAAAGATGCATCAGGAAACATTGTACTTGGAGACATTGGTGTACATATACAACAAGAGGTTGGTGTTTAATAACCTTCATATTTATCTTGATATTGAACTCCGCTTACAAAAACTTGGTATTGTCTCTTGTGAACAGTTTGATTTATTTTATATAACTTCTTGAGGAAAAGATCTACCAAGGCTGTTTTTGTTTCTTTTAAAATTGCCCAAGTGTTGATATGTGAATAAAGCTTCTACTTACTATGGTTTGAAGCTTATCATAATGCAGCTTCTATTATCCTTCAGTGTTTATATTATGTTAATGAAGTGATACGGATGTCAGACAAAAGAATTGAGAGTGAATATCCATTTGATGACACTTATACAAGTCAATTATCTGATAATTTACGATGTCAATTTGCCATCAGTTATCTTTTAATTACATAGTTTTGATCTTGCCTCAAAACCTTATCAGATCTATATTTGGAACTGGAAAAGGAATTATGAAACTGACTGCACATGTATATTTCTGGATTGATTTGAGGAATATGGCCTGTATAGGAATCATCTCACATATGGTTCCTCTAAGAAGTTCCATTCTATATATCATATAATGGTTTTCACTAATTGGAATGCGATTTCACTCCAATTGATGTTGATTAACTGATATAGGCTGCATGATGACCTTCAATGCCATACCTGATAATTAGGTCTTGAGCACTTCTTCGAATGTTGCCAATATATGAAATGCAGATACGGATATGACCATATGGAAAACCTTTTGGAAAAAGAGTACTAATAGGGCAACAGTATTATATTTTGCTTACAAATTAGTCATATTTCTCGAGTAAAATTGAAGGAAGGTTTGCGCGTGCCCAAAGTTTACCCTGCTGCAGGCATTCTGATGAGGTTCCCATATTAAGATGTGCAATTAGTGTGTGCATGGGNCTGGATTGATTTGAGGAATATGGCCTGTATAGGAATCATCTCACATATGGTTCCTCTAAGAAGTTCCATTCTATATATAATATAATGGTTTTCACCAATTGGAATGCGATTTCATTCCAATTGATGTTGATTAACTGATATAGGCTGCATGATGACCTTCAATGCCATACCTGATAATTAGGTCTTGAGCACTTCTTCGAATGTTGCCAATATATGAAATGCAGATACGGATATGACCATATGGAAAACCTTTTGGAAAAAGAGTACTAATAGGGCAACAGTATTATATTTTGCTTACAAATTAGTCATATTTCTCGAGTAAAATTAAAGGAAGGTTTGCGCGTGCCCAAAGTTTGCCCTGCTGCAGGCATTCTGATGAGGTTCCCATATTAAGATGTGCAATTAGTGTGTGCATGGTCACATGCTATGCAAACCATTCAAGTCTTATCCTGGATGTTTGGGCCTAAGTAAAANTTAGTGTGTGCATGGGCACATGCTATGCAAACCATTCAAGTCTTATCCTGGATGTTTGGGCCTAAGTAAAAGGAAACTGGTTCTGTCATTTCCCTCTTTCTAAAGCCATTTGGCCCCTCCCTTAGGCGTAGCATGGATGTCATTGGCAGAAGTAGTGATTTCCTCTTGGAGCATTTAAGCTGTATTAAAAGCCAGATATAGTGTTTTCACAGGTTTGCCAAGAACAAGACGTATATTTAGTAGCAGTGCCTTGTCCGCTATTTTGATATGGCTAGTTGTACACTTCCACATGGGTCCTTGGATACACCATTTCTGACATTATTTGCTTAACTAAAAGCTACGACAACGATCATGTGACGGTTAACAATAATAAGGCATCTCATAAGCAAGTTTTGCAAATATTCTTGTTTCCTTAACTTGACATGGTCTCCCATTTAAATTATAGGTTTCCATTTCTTTAGGTGGTCTCGAACATGTATGACATCAACAAATGATATAGGTTACCTCACGCAACTTTCTCTCAGTACATTCTTGTATAAATTTTGTTCTGGTGCTGCAAAGATTACTATCTTGTTCTTCGACAGATACAAGAACTTTTGAACAAGTGTAGGTGCCTTGAGCCCAAATTCCTAGCTGTATTATTTTAAAGAAAGCCATTCTGAGTTTTAATGCTTGCTAGTTTTGATATCTTACATCTGATAAAAACATCTCAATTAATGTATTAGTATCATACTTCAATTTGGGTTTGCCNACAGCCATTATGAGTTTTAATGCTTGCTAGTTTTGATATCTTACCTCTGATAAAAACATCTCAATTAATGTATTAGTATCATACTTCAATTTGGGTTTGCCTAATCTGATACTTATATTCATAATGCACACTTTTCTGCAGACAAAAAAATATTTTAAAGAGATTGGCATCCCNCCTAATCTGATACTTATATTCATAATGCACACTTTTCTGCAGACAAAAAAATATTTTAAAGAGATTGGCATCCCAGCTGATGTAAAATATATCGACCCCACATACATGATCCGTGCTTGTCGTGCAAATGCATCAGATGGAATATTATGTGCTGTACTGGGTCAAAATGCTGTAAGTATCCCATGCTCATGTTTTCTCACTTGTTGAAGACATAGTATATGCATGCTCATTAATTGCCAAATGTAGTACCATGCTCTATGGGAGGTTTTAGAGTCACTGCTGGAAAATTTAAGCTAATAGGTTTGTAGAACTCCAACTTAGGCCCCAAGACACGCACAGAAAGATTGAACACAAAATGCCCGAAAAGAGAAGGAAATTTTGGAGAATAGATGAAATAGATTGACTCCTACCGCAGTTTTCCTGGGGTTGACCACATTATTAGGGAGATGTATAGCTAAGTTACTCCACAAAAACAAGGCACAAAAACATTCTAAATGAGTGGCCTCCTAAAATTTTATGTTGTTCTCAAATGTTGGCAAAATATTCCAAAAACTGTTCCAAATGGGGAATTGGAAGCATATGTCTAATGAAACTTTGTTGTTTTAACTTTCTAACAGCAGCATGTCTTAGATTTGTTCTGCTACAGGGAATAGCAGGCCATGGAGACAGGCAATATGAGCTAAGCTGCTCATTTTTAAAAATATTCCATTTATATTAGTTTGTTCACTCTCTTGATAAATCAAAGCCAAAGCCTGAATCTTTTGTCTTGCTGCTAACTGAGCATTAGCAATACTGAACTCGATGTGGCTCTGGTTTGGGATAGTCAGTGGCTATGGGTTTGATCAGGATGAGTTGAGCTGGTCTCTCTAACCAATGAGTTGCTGCGTATATGCTCAGTCAGCGTCAGTTGAAATTTCTAGAACAATCCAACAAAATGAATTAATGTTCACTTAAGTTCTCATATTAGAAGTGCTGGATAGAGCATCACATGCTTTTCTGTGTAATGTTGGTGTATAACTGAATGAAAATAAGCTACCATAGTATGTTTCTGCCATAAAAGCAATTTGTATTATGTTGCTTATTAATTTTTTTGTTACCAATTGAAAGGCATACTTTTCCCCTTTTTGGTTCCTTTTCTGTATAGAAATGCCGATGAACCTATGTCCTTGTGAGGGACTTCAACCCTGCACGTTTCCATTTAGGAATGGCCGGGCATACAAATTTCTTTTAAAATGTGAGCCACAACATGGATGCCTTTACTTCATTAATTTGAAGCAAGACCGGCATACAACCCCATCTGCAACTGCTTGTCACAAACCCAAAAAAGATTCAACAACTAGAAAGCAAAGGTTCTTTCTAGACATTAACTGGGATTTTTATATTTCTACTCAGCTATGAAATTGAAAACCCCTTAGCATTACTCTATCCTTGATTATGTCTCAATCCCTTGGCTTCTCCTTAGAGATCTATAATACTGCTTTGTGTTGGGTTCTCAAATTCTAAACTGAGTTGTTTCGAAATGGGTAGTGGAAGAAATGAGAATGGGTAATATTCGAGTGAATTGGTTGGTTTTAAAGTTCCACCTCTCAGCAAACAGAGCTATCCTTTGCTAGGTCCATTTTCCGTGCTTAAACTATGATATGGGTTAAGTCATCGAAGATGTATTAAAATAGGTTTTATTTGGCTCATGGATGAGGATGACCTGGATGTGCCTCATTTCTGTTGGCAAGCCTTCCTTGTTTCTGAACTGTCACATTTGCATAGGTAATTTAACTTTGTTGTGGGGCTGGCCCATGGTCTCTTGAGTCTTGATCCTAGTTCGAGCCAGGTTCACATCATGTAGGCCAGCCTCTGCAATCCTTGGCATGGATGGAAGTTGTTTTCAAATGTTATCTTCTTCAAGCGGGTTTCTGCTTTCTCAATTGTGCAGTTCATGCTTCCTTTTACATTGTTTATTAGATTTTAACTAAAGTCAGTTTTGCTTACTATCTCTAAAAAATATAGATTCAAAAACCTTGCTTGGTCTTGGCAGGTTCATGGTGCGTTCGCTGGATATAGTGGCATCACCGTTGGCATATGCAACACTCACTATGTCTACCTTCCCATTCCTGAAGTTATATCTTACCCCCGAGTTGTCGACCCTAACAGCCGCATGTGGCATCGTTGCTTGACATCAACAGGGCAACCAGACTTCATCTGATTAAAGAGGCATTTTAATTTATCCTTCACAGATACAAGGGTCATATTATAGAGTACATTGAAGAGTAGAAAGCCTGCTTCAGCCTTCAAAAGGTCTCCATTTATTCCGTTCACCCAATGTTCTTGAAAGAAATAATATAGAGGATTGCAGTTCCCCAATTCTTTCAGCTGTAAAGCATCCGTGTGCCATTTCTCAGAGGCACGGCAGAATAATATATCCCAAAGACCCACGGGGTTTTGTTATTTTGTAATCTTTTGGAGTACATGGCTTTATCTGAAATTTTGATTTTGGCCCTTTTGTATCTGAAAAATATGTTTGCAAGATGCAAAACCAGGGCGTACTTTGTTCACAAGGTTCCTTCCCTTCTCGGGGTTTAGGAAAGCTAAAAGGTACGATATGTACAAGGAAATACATTTAAATTCATATACCGAAATTTAAGTCATTTTACGAATTGCTTTTTCATTTTTATGTATAGTTGAATGAATTGTGAGTTGTATTAACGTATGCGGTTCAGTTTTGATTCTGCAGGATTGCTAGTGTAACAAAACTTTTAGCAGATATTAGACCTTTTGATGACTACTGTTGCAGGAATGCTGAGTTCATTCTCCATTGAAGAAGTTAGATCGTAGCTCTTTTGTTGCTGATCTGAAATTCAACCTTGTTGGATGGTCACAGACACGCAATCATGAAGGTAATATGCTATAGCCTCTAACGTTATTATAGGACTTTTAAGCTGGTTCAATTACAACAGTAACACCCTCCTCACTCATTAACACCCACCCCGCACCCCCGATATTTTTGGAATTACGCGGTGANGCTATAGCCTCTAACGTTATTATAGGACTTTTAAGCTGGTTCAATTACAACAGTAACACCGTCCTCACTCATTAACACCCACCCCGCACCCCCGATATTTTTGGAATTACGCGGTGATCTGTCACTTTTGTAAACTTGTTACAATAAGACTATCCCTCACCGAAAAATTATGAGATCAGCCAAAAAAATGTTAAAGAACCCACTTACTACCCTTTGTCAAATTCTTGTCAAAATGGGTGAAAATCAACTTTAATAATATTCGAGGAAAAAAAAATGAGAGAGAATGGGCGGAATATTGTGGGGATCTCCTCGGGCCTGCCTCGACCACCCCTCTTCTAGTGACGAACACGGCCCCTTTTCGTCTAATGTATAAAGTGAATTTTACTTCGTTATATAGGGTGGTTATTGTATCGAGTAAAATATAATAGATATCTAATTGGAGGACTTTTATTCAATTTTAGTGTTTATATATAAATATTTAAGGTATATACTTTCTAACAGTATAAGTTTTTTGAGTAGATGATTATCTAATATGTGGTATCAAATCAGGAGGTTTTGTGTTCAAATTTTGTCGCCTTCTTAATTATTAAATAGTTAGATTAATTATGAGTTTTGATGTTAAATGGGATCCACTTTAATCCAATAGATATAATTGCTTAGCTCCCCGAATTAGGTCTAATTAATNAATGAGAGAATGGGCGGAATATTGTGGAGATCTCCTCGGGCCTGCCTGCCTTGACCACCCCTCTTCTAGTGACGAACACGGCCCCTTTTCGTCTAATGAATAAAGTGAATTTTACTTCGTTATATAGAGTGGTAATTGTATCGGAGTAAAATATTATAGATATCTAATTGAAAGACTTTTATTCAATTTTAGTGTTTATGTATAAATATTGAAGGTATATACTTTTCAACAGTTTAAGTTTTTTGAGTAGATGATTATCTAATATCAGGAGATTTTGTATTCAAATTTTGTCGCCTTCTTAATTATTAAATAGTTAGATTAATTATGAGTTTTGATATTAAATGGGGTCCACTTTAATCCAATAGATATAATTGCTTAGCTCCCCGAATTAGGTCTAATTAATATTTTCCTACTATAATACATGAAGGGTTGTTACCGAGTTGTGTGAGATTTACTTATTCTCTTATTATATTTTTAATAAAAAATAGTAATATTATGTGATGGTGATAATTTCATACCCACATTGGGCTCATATACTCCACAGACCTGGGGGCTGGTGCATATTGCTGGATTTCTAATTGCCGGTGAGTTGTGAAAAAGCTTTATTAAATTATCGAGTAGATATTCATTTTAAATNAATAGTAATATTATGTGATGGTGATAATTTCATACCCACATTGGGCTCATATATTCCACAGACCTGGGGGCTGGTGCATATTGCTGGATTTCTAATTGCCGGTGAGTTGTGAAAAAGCTTTATTAAATTATCGAGTTGATATTCATTTTAAATGGCCAAAAATTTATTGGGAGTAATGCTATTNGTGAAAAAGCTTTATTAAATTATCGAGTTGATATTCATTTTAAATGGCCAAAAATTTATTGGGAGTAATGCTATTGGTTTGGTTTCCTTGGGCTCGAGTGCGAGATGCAAAATGACGTTCGAGAGCTGACCAAACAGACCTTGAGGTTGGTAAGCCAACTACATGTGCCATCCCAGTAAGACTTTATCTTTGTTACGTCTCGAATTTCATAAAACAATGTGAAGTAAAAAAAAATTGTTTAATTCAAAATGTTGTCAATTAATGAATAAAATTTAAAGGAAATAAACATTTGCAATGAGAAATAATATGGAGGAGTTTAATTTATATAATCAGGCTTATACCAGAATGGAATGAACAATTTGCGAGAGCATTCTAACATTACCATGAACTATCCAAAAGAAACACCATCACCATTCTATTTTAAACACAAAATATAACTTCATCCCTAATGGCTTAAATCCAAAGTTCGTAGATTAAAGGACAAAATCCGACAAGTTGGCTTTNTCACCATTCTATTTTAAACACAAAATATAACTTCATCCCTAATGGCTTAAATCCAAAGTTCGTAGATTAAAGGACAAAATCCGACAAGTTGGCTTTTAACTTTAATGCTCTGTTTGGTATGATGGAAGAATGAAAAGTTAGAAGGTTGAAAAGTTGGAAAGATAATAAAACATCATGTTTGGTAAAGAAGGAAAAGAGAAAGGATGAAAAAATGAATGAATTAATTTTTCTTCCAACTCATTAAAATAAATCACTTTAAAATCAGAAAANAAAAGAGAAAGGATGAAAAAATGAATGAATTAATTTTTCTTCCAACTCATTAAAATAAATCACTTTAAAATCAGAAAAAAAGTGAATGAAAAGTTAATTATTTGTGTTAAAATGTATCTTATTTGTCTATATATTATATATACATTAATTTCATATAACAATACAATGATTAAATATGTATTTATGTGTGTGTGTGTGTCTATATATATATATTAAAAAAATAAAAATAAAAATAAAATTTTTTAATTAGGGGTGAAAATTTTTGACTCAACACGATGAAACAACTCAAATTTAACACGAATTTTATGATACGAACTTGAAAATGACCTGTCAAGCGAACAAAAAATATAAAAAGCTCGTAATTTTATGATTTAACACGAATCTGACACGGCACGACTCGATTGTCACTCATAATCTTAACCAGCACAAAAAAAATTAAAAAAAAATTAGTTATTTTTATTTTCCATCAATCCAACCAAATATAAAGGAAGAAAAGTGTATCATTCTTACTTTTCATCCTTGAAAGATAGAAAGTGTATCCCTCATACTTTTCATTCTTCTTACTTTTCATCATTTTTACCAAACGGGGCATAAGAGTTTGTAACCTTTTTCTAACACTGGCATATTAACAATAAAAAAAACTAATTCAACAATCCTCGTGCCTCAATCTCTGGATCGACATTTTGATCTGTTTCAAGTTCCATCTCTGCATCCTTACATATTTTTGTCTCAGTTTCCACACCCAAATTTGACAAATGGTAATTATGGGATTAGCACAACTAGCCGAGTAGAAAAATCTTTCTCAAGCTTACAAAAGATTTTTAAAAATATGAGTCAAGTCACATTTAAAATTTTTTTACAACTTTTGAGGAATGATTCAAGTAAAAGATCAAGAGAATAAGTGATTTGACTATCGTGCCACACACTGAAATAAATTTGACCCACCAAATAATAATAAATCTATAATAATCTCTTGCGGACTTTAGGAAGAACCAATATTAAAAATTTTATGGCGCCACGTAGGCCACCCATAGTATTCAATATATTTAACCATTCTTCCCAAGAAGTAATAGGAACCCTTGGGACCTCGCAGGGAACCAAACTCATCTATTAACCTTTTGTCTCGGTCTTTTCGTGAACGAATAGTGAGAACCCATGGAACCTCGTGAGGTGCCACATCCATCCACTGCAGGTAGTAAAAAACCTTGAAATCTCTCGAGGTAATAAACTTGGCTATACACGTTAAGCATTATCAAGTTCATCAAACCAAGAAATCAAAATCAACACCTCGGAGTAACTTGTAATTCAAACTATGAAATCAAATCATGACTTTGAAATTCGAACACAGAATGCGACAAACATTTTAGACAAACATAAATCGAGTAAGAGTATAGTGAAAAACATGTATGAGATAGTAAATCAAATATTCATAAAAAGTCTTCCTCCATTAAAAATCTAAGATTTGACTTGTACCTGAAGACACTATATAATTTTAAAAACAATTTTGTGACTTGTGCATGAAGGCACTAGGAATAACCCGTGGTTGAAGGTAAGATGCAACTGAAAAAAAAAATCTAACATCGAATTTGAACGCGAAATAATCAAACACTGAACTCAGATACGTACTAAACTGAAAGTCTAAAGTCGCCCTATATCACGTGTCTGAAGGCACTGTACATAGTTCTTAAACACGAAATAATCAAACAATGAATATAAACATACATTAAGCTGAAAATCGTTTTGTCATTTTTAATGTCATGACTTTAAAGAAATAAAAAGGGTCAAAAGTTGTCATTAACCAATACTTTGACCACCTAAATTCAAAAAAAAAATTACATTAAATCAGGAACACTCCAAATTATATTACTAACCAAACATGAAAAGGAAAAAAAGGAACTAAAATTCACTTATGTGATCTTTTCAAAACCATCACCACCTAGCACCACTGCAACAAATGCCTAGAAGATCACAACAAAATTCAACACAATAAATTAAAACCAAAGCAAAACATTAGAATGTTCAAAAGCAAAAACACAATAACAACACATTAATAGCCCAAAATTCATTGTCCATTAATAGCCCATCACAAAATTTATCACACATTAAAAATTGCATAAAAAAATTTAAAATGGTAGAAAAAATTTTCACGGCCCATCTCGGTCTCCCAAAGATGAGACTCGACTAGATTTTTGATATACATGTTTATATATATATATATAGTCTGGACTAATAAAACATTAAATAATCTCACAAGTGCAATAACACCACCCATCACTTTAGTCATTAAGTATGATGGTAAAACTTGTCTCATAACCCATATCATATAAAACATCTGTATCAATTGTTTGTT